CCGCATGTCATTGTGTCAGAAACCCGGCTGATCACAGTGATAGGTTTCCGTGTGTGTGTGTGTGTCAGACACCCGGCTGATTACGGTGATGGGTTTCCGTGTGTGTGTGTGTCAGACACCCGGATGATCACGGAATTGGCTTTCCATGTGTGTGTGTGTCAGACACCTGGCTGATCACGGCAATGGGTTTCCGTGTGCGTGTGTCAAAACACCCGGCTAGTCACAGTGATGGGTTTCAGTGTGTCAGACACCCAGCAGAATAGACTCAGGAAGTGAGTTTCATATTTCAAAGTTTCTCCTGAACTCCCTATCAGATCTACCAGCAGCCATCTTACTTTGACCCCCTCTAGTTACAGACTCAACAACACGTCTTACCTCAGGTTGACATCTCTCCTCTCCACACCGGACGCAAAGCCGTTAAGGAGTCTTTCGTCTCTCTCCTCCTCTGTGTAATGGGATATTACCAGCTAGCTTCCTCTTGAGATCGATCACCAGGTAACACAGTCATTCTGTCCGATACATCTCTGACAGAAACGTGTCTCATTCGGAATTGCTGTCAATTCCGCGGTTGTTTGCAGGTGGAGTTTAGTGTGTGTGATAGAGAGCCAGTGGAGCCTGGCGAGGACTGAGGTGATGGGGGGATGTAGTTTAGTGTGTGTGAGTATGCGGACGGCGGAGTTTTTGATTAACTGGATTTTGTAGATAGTGGAGCTAGCGAGACCAGCGAGGAGGGCATTGTAGCAGTATAAGAGTGGGACAATCCCACTCCCCCTCTCAGTTATATTTAGCCTTGCCCCCCTCCGCGCCGTTTACGTTGCATTTTCCTTTGACCCACCAAGACTTGGCGTAAGCAGCCAGGTAAGAGATAGTCAGTCAGAGCACAGAACGTAGAACAAAATGGAGTATATTTCACAAAATGCAGCAGATCGCGAGGGGAACGGTGACGGTGATGTGTGACGGGCGGGGGGAGGGAATGTACGCTGCAGGGTTTTTTTGGGGGTGGGGGCGATTAAAAATGGCAGAGTTGCAGGACTCCATCCGTCTCCTTGCTCGGACTTAAGAAGGGTACGATGGGTTCGGGGAAGACGGCCTTAAAGGTGTAGAGGTGCGTCATGCAGCAGGCGTCGTAGAAGGAGACCTGACCTGCCTCGAAGTCGAGATAAATGCCCACTTTAGTGAGCTCGCATTCCAGGTCTAGGGGCTCCCTGAGGTCCTCGTTGATGCAGTAGTCAAGCTGCCTCGAGATACTCCAGTAGTGGTTCTGAGGGCTCAGTTTGACGTAGCCCTTGCGGCTGCTATGGAGGCACGTCACCCCCAGGTACCAGCCCAACGAGTGGCCCACATCCACCTCCCAGTAGTGGCGACCGGAGGGGAAGTGGGTGGTCGCGAGCACGGCCTGGAAGCGGTTGAACCTCTCAGGGTTGTCTGACACTGGGCTGCGGCTGGTGCAGGACTCTACCGCGGTGTAGTTGGAGTAGAAGGTGAGGTTGGGGTGAGCGGTGGTGGGGTCGAAGTAGAGGTTCTCAGGAGCTGCCGATAGACCAGCAACAGGGTTAGATAATACAAATAATCCTTGCATTTAATGTCTCAACTGAATGACGGCGTCCCTGAAAATGCAAAACCCCCCAGCGCTGCACTGGTGGGTCAGCTTAGACTGTGATCCCAAAAATAATTACCGTGTCGTCAGGCAGTGCCTGAGCCCCCGGTAACTGTCTCCTGATTGGCCAGTCCTGTTGTCAGGCGGTGCCTGAGCCCCCGGTAACTGTCTCCTGATTGGCCAGTCCTGTTGTCAGGTACAGCCTGAGCCCCCACTAACTGTCTCCTGATTGGCCAGTCCTGTTGTCAGGTACAGCCTGAGCCCCCGGTAACTGTCTCCTGATTGGCCAGTCCTGTTGTCAGGTACAGCCTGAGCCCCCGGTAACTGTCTCCTGATTGGCCAGTCCTGTTGTCAGGTACAGCCTGAGCCCCCGGTAACTGTCTCCTGATTGGCCAGTCCTGTTGTCAGGTACAGCCTGAGGCCCCGGTAACTGTCTCCTGATTGGCCAGTCCTGGTGTCAGGTACAGCCTGTGCCCCGTGACTTGTCTCCTGATTGGCCAATCCTGTTGTCAGGTAGAGCCTGAGGCCCCGGTAACTGTCTCCTGATTGGCCAGTCCTAATGTCAGGTACAGCCTGATCAGACAATGAGGTTGGGAATGGTTGGTGGGCCAGATAAAATCATCCCCTGGGGCAGATGAGGTGCCTCAACCTGCCTGGTGACACCAGTTGGACCACCCTGACTTAAGTCATCAATATCTCGGCCTCATTTATACATACGCCTATTATAATCATTAATAAAACAACTTGCAGTTACACAACGCCCAGGTTAAGGGGCAGCGTCTCAGAGCACGTAGCAGTGGCAGAACTTGACACCAAGCCGGGGAGAGAGGGGAGGTGACCATAGGCACAGTCGAAGAGGAAGGTCTTCAGGTGTGATCTGAAGATGGGTAAGGTTGAGCTTCGATTACTAACAAGGTGGTTAGTAAAGGAGCAAACGGAGGTTAGGGGTGATGTTTTCACATACACAGCGGTTAGGATGTGGGATGGTTGAGGCAGAATTCACATTAGCTTTCAAAAGGGAACTGGATACATACCAAAAAAAGGAGTCAGCTACAGGTTTGTGGGGGGAAGAGCAGTGAAATGGGACTGAAAGGATTGCTTTTAAAGGAACAGGCACGGACAGTATGGGCCAAATGGCCTCCTTTTGTGCTGTAAATTTCTATAGTTCTGTGATACGTGGAGGATTAATGTGGAGTTATGTCTCCACCTTGTGGCAGAGATGGAGTACTGCGCGGTGTATTAAAAATCACTAAGTCAACTGTACAACAATAAATTTCATTTGTATAGTGCCTTTCATGTCAGGACAACAACAACAACAACAAGATTCCATTTATTGAGCACCTTTCACATCGGGAGGACGTCCCAAGGCGCAGTTGGGTCAGGACCCGAGCAGGGGGGAAATGGTCAGGGGGAGGGAAGGGAGAGAGCGGGGAAGGGGTAGAGAGTCGAGAGGGGAGCTGAAGGCACGTCCCAAGGCGCTGGACAGTCTGGGATCCCCACCTATACCTGCACACACACACCCCCATCTGGACTGTATCCCCTGCTCTGCATCTGGACTTCAAGGTTCATTTCCCCTACCCATCCCCCCCACCATTGGTAGTCGGGCTTTCAGTCTTTCTTCCCCCCCCACACCTCCCACTCTCTGGAGCTCCCTCACCTCACCATGGTCTGTCTCAAGACTTTCCTCTACAACCACGTTTGCTCACCCTCCCCCGCGCGTGGCTGGATTGTACTGCATGTACCTGGATTGATGACATCAAGCATCCTCTTCCAAGCGATGAACTGGAGAGGCCCTGTGAACATGTCCCAGCATGGAGCCACCCTGGTCACCATGGGCTTGTCCAGCTCTGGTGCTGGCCTGGGGGCAGGACACCGTGTGTGAGAGAGAGTGCGCGTGAGAGAGAGTGTGTGAGAGAGAGAGAAAGAGAATAAACACTCCGTGCATGTGGGGCTCAGTGATAGAGCCCGGGACCGACCTGCTCTGTGTGTGTCTATAGTGTGTGTGTCTGTGTCTATGTGTAGTAGTGTGTGTCTCAGTGACTGAGCTCCGAAACTGTCCAACTCTGTGTTGTGTTTCGCCCACAAAACACACAGTCACTATACTTTATAGTGTATCCTGTGAAGCGCTTTGAAACGTCTTGAATACGTGATAAGGCTCTGTATTAAATACAAGGAATATTAGTATTATAATAATTCCTACATTTGACACAGGGGCTCACGTTGGAAGCTGGTGATTTTGGCTTGATGCACTTTCTGCTCACACTATCCTGACAAAAAAAGTACTACTGCAGCCAACTCCCTGCTTATCTCAAGCAGTCAGTGACCTCGAGAAGGCTGTGTTTCCATGCAAAAAGAACTGATAAGGAGACAGAAGAATGGTTTGCAGCCTGCATGTTTTTCAGCCTTGAGAAGGAGACTGTTATGGTACAGACACAGATGGCCCTTATCAAGTCCTTGAGACATGTCAAAGCACTTCACAGGATACAGTGTCAAGTGTAGTGGCTGTGTATTTTGTGGGTGAAATGCGGCAGCCAGTTGAGCACAGCAGTGTCCCGCAAACAGTCGTGAATTGAGTGACCACACTTTTGGGGAAGGGATTATTATCCTCATACATTCTTGTTGTATTACATTGTGAGGAACTCAAAAACTTATAACATCGGGAGGATGTCTCAAAGCACTTCACAGGATTCACTGTAAAAGTGTAGTGACTGTGCAGCAGCCAGTTTGCGCACAGCAACATCCCCGCAAATAGCAATGAAGTGAGTGGGCGATTTTATCTGGGGGATTGTTGGCCAGGACACTGAGAGAGAGAGAGAGAGAGAGAGAGAAACTCCCTTCTCTTTGCCCGACAGGGCAGAGAGGTTTAACGTCTCATCCGAAGGATGGCGTTTCTGGCAGGATGGCGCTCTCCCCCCACCACTGCGCTGGAGTGTCAGCACAAGACAGAAACGTGTGGAGATGAGATGCTTACCTTGAAATGGAATCCAGCATCTCCTACGGAGCAGAAAAAGACATGGATTACACATATACACACACACATGTGATCACCATCACACACAGCAAGTTTTTTTTAACACGCGCGCACAGCCGAGATACGCCAAGACACACACAGATATACACACACCAAAACACACACAGAGCCACGCCGTGACACACACACACAGATACAGACACAGAGATACACAGACGCACATTCAGGCACAGACAGGCGCGTGGACACATACATACATACACACAACACCCACAAATCATGACATCTCTTCAGATGTTCAGTGTAGAGCGGCCATCAGTGAAGGAGCAACAGCAAACAATAGTAATAATAATCCTCGCATTTGATACAGCGCCTTATCACGTCTTCGAGACGTCTCAAAGCGCTTCACGGGATACACTGTGAAGTGTAGTGACTGTGTGTTTTGTGCAGAGCGACTGCTGGTGTGGACAATACAATACAAAATTACATTTATATAGCGCCTTTCACGTCGGGAGGATGTCCAAGGCGCTGGAAACACCTGAAAGCTAGGGGGAGTGGGGTGGGGGGTTACCTCCAGGGGCACGGAGTGGTTGAGTTTGCTCTGGATATCAGCGATGGACTGCTCGAGCTCGGCGATAGTGGAGCCCAGATCCACCTGGTTACTCTCCACGTCTCCCAGTATGGCCTCCTGTTCCTCCTCTAGCCTCGTCAGCAGGATGTCCTGCTCCTCGATCAGGAACTCGATCAGCTTCGCAAACTCGCTGCTGATCTTCACTCTCAGCTCCTCCTTCCTCCTCTGCTCCCCGACCCGATCCAGGAGAGAGAGAAACAGCACAGGTATAGCTACGCTCGCACACACACACAGTTATTCCCTACAGGATTCCACTCGCACATATAACAACAAACTGTGGAATCCTGTAGCGTAGTGGTTAAAGCGTTTGCCTCGCAAGCGAGAGGGCCTGGGTTTGATTCCCGGACGGGTCAGGGTGAAACCTTAGGCAAGTTTCCTTACTCAACACACGCGTCCCTGTTTACCTAGCAGTAAGTCGGAACCTGCTAGTTAGTCAATTTGCAGATCGCTTTCCAGGGTTAATAATCCCTCCAAAACCAAGAATAATTTGGTCACTCAATCCACGAATGTTTGTGTTAATTGGCTGCCGCATTTTGCCCACAAATTAAACAGTCACTGCACTTTACAGTATATTCCGTGCAGCGCTTTGAGTGTTAAGGTGCCATATCAAATGCGAGGAGTGTTATTATTAAATAATAATCCTTACATGTGACAAGAGTGCAGTGACTGTGTGTTTTGCAGGTGAAACGCAGCAGCCAATTAGTGCACAGCAGTGCACCACAAACAGCCGTGAAGCGAGCGAGCAATTTTATTTGGGGGATTGTCGGCCGGGACATCGAGAGAGAGAGAGAGAAACTCCCTCCTCTTTTCCAATAACGCCGTGGGAGATCTTTAACATCCACCTGAACAGGGCACAGACAGGGAGAGAGTGAGGTTTAACATCTCATCCAAAGGATAATGCGATCAAAGGGATTTTTGGCCAGGGTGAGAAACCATACCAAGCCACAACCAACCCACACCATTCCATGCCCACCCTCGCCATGCCACCCCTTGCCACAGCACAGCCAACCCATGCTAACCTATTCAATGCTAACCCATGTCACAGCAAAGTGAATCCGCACCAACCCACGCCATGCCAATTCTCTCCATGCTGTGCCAACTCACACCGTGCCATGCTAACGCACCCAACAGGGCTCTGCCCTGCTCCTAAACACCAGGCTTGTGAAGACTTGGCAGCTCAGCGCTTGGAGAAGTGTGAAGGAGATGATCTGATGGGGCTCCAGTCTGCAGTTCAACCCACCTTGACCCAAACGATGGTCTCGTCTTCAGTCTTCTTCACTGATACGAAGAGCTCTCTCTCCTGGAGGAACCAATCCAGCCGCTGCCTCATTTGGGCCTGGAGATGAGGACGGAGAGAGCGAGAAAGCGAGAGTGAGAGAGAGGTTTGAGGCTTCTCATCTTTGACGAGGAATCATTCTTCAAGTGAATATTAATCGTCCACCCCACATGTGAAGAGTGGCAAGGAAACGGAGCACGGACCCTGGGCTCTAAGATGTCACACTGGAACCAGTTATCTTGATGGATTACTTTCCTCACTAGACTCTCTGTTGTTGGTTCCAATCTTGTAGCACTGTCAGAATAAGTGCGTTTCAGATGAAGACGTCCCTTCGGTCAACTTGATCTCATCCCTGCAGAACACCCAGCATCCCCCCCAAAGCACTGAACCTCCGAGGCTCTGTCTAGTCCTGATCGAAGGGATTTTTGCCCAGGGCAGACCTTGTGAAGAAAGAAAGGCCCACTGGCCCAGACTCCAGGGGCAAACTTCTCCTCTCCTCCCTCATCCACGTTGCCACCATCACCATCAAACCTCTCCCTCTCATCTCTCACATTCCTCCTCCACCTCTCCAATCCGCATTACCCGACAAAATATCTGTTCCCTCTCCAACAAAGCCCTTTCCGTCAATGACCTCATTGTTGATGGAAACATTGATATCCTCGTGCTCACAGAAATCTGGATCACCCTAGGCAACACCTTCCCCCTGACTTGAGGCCACACCATGCGGCTATTCCTTCCACCATACCACACAACTTAATCACCGTTGTGGTGGTGGTGGTGTGGCTCTCATCTCTCTTGTTTTATTCCCAGCTCAGGTCCAAATCCCTGACTGTCCAGCGCTTTGGGACGTCCTCCCAACGTGAAAGGCAGGTGCTGTGTAAATGTAATTTGCTGGAGGTGTTCCATTGAGGCCAAAAAATCAAGACCCAGCCTCATAGATCACAGATAAATGGGCAACTGAAGCCAGGTCCATTCTCTTGCTCTCTCACCCCAGACACACAAGGTCCTATCACTCCCAGTGTGGAGACCTTCACACTGAGCTGTCTGTTCACCTTCTCTCTTCTGAACTCGAGCACCTTATTGTAGAGTTAGTGACCAAGTTAAGCACTTATTAGTGTTTTGCTTACACCCGTCAGGATCTCCAATGCCTCATTAAGATTTCCCAAGATTTCTCTCCTCCAATACAAACATTCCCAGATTCCCGCAGCCTTTCCTCATCACTCAGCCTCCTGATCTCAACCTCCAATCCAATGCTTCCTTGCTGAACCCACTATAAAATGCCAGCCTTCAATTCAGTGCCCCTCACTATACTACACATTGTTGGATGAGACGTTAAACTGAGCTCCCATCTGTGCCTGTTCAGGTGGATGTTAAAGATCTCCCGCGGAAAGATAAAGGAGTTTCTCTCTCTCTCTCTCTCTCTCTCTCTCTCTCATGGTGTCCTGGTTGACAATCCCCCAAATAAAATTGGTCATTCCAATGGCGGATTGTCAGACATTGCTATGCGTAAATTGGCCTGCCACATTTCGTCCACAAAACACACAGTGAATCATGTGAAGCACTTTGAAACGTCCTCCTGCTACACTAAACAGAAGGGTTTATCATTATCATAGTGCCTTTCATGTCGAGAGGATGCTAATTACACTATCATAGTGCCTTCCATTTCGGAAGTGCTTCACAGGATTTGTGTGTGTATTTTGTAGGCGAATAGCCATGAAGTGAATAACCAGTTTTATCTGGGGAATTGTTGGCCAGGACACCGAGAGAGAGAAAGAGAGAGAGAGAGAGAGAGAAACTCCCTTTTTTTTTCGATAGCGCCGTGGGACATCTTCTCTCTAAACAGGGAACAGACAGGGAGCTCAGTTTAACATCTCATCCGAAGGACGGCATCTCCGACAATGCTGCACAACCCCAGAGCTGCGCTGGAGTGTCAGCTTAGACTGTGCTCTCTCACAACAACAAACAACAACAACTTGCATTTATATAGAGACCCTCACACAGAATAGTATCCCAGAGCGCTTGACAGTGGTGGAGCACAATGCCAAGCCAGGGGGAGGTGACCGTAGGCATGGTCAAAGAGGAAGGTCTTCAGGCGGGACCTGAAGATGGGGAAGGAGGGATAAGGCGGTGGGACACAGGGAGAGTGTTCCAGAGTGCCACAAAAGGCAGTTTGCCCATGGAAAAAGGCAGTTGATAGCGCTCTGGCTTCTGGGTCAGAAGGTTGTGGGTTCAAGCCCTCCACATCAGAACTTTTGCTTACCGGGAACTCTTCAACAACTTCATGTGCAAGAAGGACGTCACAGTTCCTGGAAATCACAAACAAAAAGAGCATCAAGTCTGTGTCTGATTCACAGGGAAACCCATCACTGTGCTTAGGAGTATCCAAGCCAGGCAGGGTTCCATTATGATAAAACAATAATAATAATCCTTGCATTTGATATAGCGCCTTATTATGTCATTGAGACATCTCAAAGTGCCTCACAGGATATACTGTAAAATGAACTGACTGTGTATTTTGTGGGTGAAACATGGCAGCCAATCGTGCACTGCAGTGTCCAACAGACAATCATGGATTGAGTGACCTTAAAAAGTTTTTTTTAAGGGATTATTGCATCCAAAAAGGGATCCGTCAACCAGGTTCCTACTTATTGCTGGGTAAACAGAGGCGTGTGGAGTAAGAAAACTTGTCTTAGAATGCCCGGCCTGAGAATCGAACACAGGTCCTCTCGCTTGCGAAGCGAGTGCTCTAACCACTACACTACAGGAGCCCATTATGATTTGGTGTTTTACCTGTGTGCCCTGGAGGACCTGCAGACAGCACACAGGACTTCCTGATCCGTTCTGCAGTACATAGTCAGCGGCTTCTGGTGTTTCTCACACCACTTCACCACCCCGTTGCTTGGAGGGCTGGGGGCTGGCGGCTTCTTCTGCAGTTTCTCCACCAAGTTTGCCACCAGGAAGTTCTTGGTGAAGGATTTGGTCGAAAAGGTCTGCAGGGAAAGAAGATGGAGAGAAATCGTTAACCAATTCCAGGGAGGTCCAACTGGCGGCCCAAGGGCCGCAACTGGCCCAGTGGATGATTTCATCCGGCCCGGTGGATGATTTCATCCGGCCCGCGAACCATTTCCAAGTTCATTTTCCGACGAGCAAATACAGGCGACACCGAGCCAATCAGGAGGCAGTCACCGGTAGCTCAGGCTGCACCTGACAACACGACTGGCCAATCAGGAGACAGTCACCGGGGCCCAGTCTCTACCTGATAACAGGACTGGCCAATCAGGAGAAAGTCACCGGGTGGGGTGGGTGGGGGGTGGTTAAGGCATCGCCTGACAACAGGACTGGCCAATCAGGAGACAGTCGGGGGGTTAAGGCATCGCCTGACAACAGGACTGGCCAATCAGGTGATAGTCGTGGGAGTGGGGGGGTGGGGTCAGGCACCTCCTGACAACAGAACCAACCAATTAGGGGAGACAGTCAAGTGGGGCTCAAGCTCTGCCTAGTAATAGGACTGGCCCGTCACAAGATAGTCACGGAGGGGCAGGGGTGGGGGTTCAGGCATCGCCTGACAACATGACTGGCCAATCAGGAGACAGAGACTTAGAATCTGCTCGGCAACAGGAATGGATAATCAGGAGACAGTAACCAGGGTCTGAGGCACCGCCTGACAACAGGACTGGCCAATCAGGAGACAGTCACCGGGGTCTCAGGCTGTACCTGACAGCAGGACCGGCCAATCAGGAGACAGGAACTCAGAATCTGCCCGGCAACAGGACTGACCAATCAGGAGACAGTCACTGGGAGCTCAGGCACTGCCTGGTAACAGGACTCGCCCATCACGAGATAGTCACGGAGGGGCGGGGGGAGGGTTCAGGCATCGCCTGATAAAGGACCGGCCAATCAGGAGACAGAGAATCAGAATCCGCCCGGCAACAGGACTGGCCAATCAGGAAACAGAGACTCAGATTCTGCCCGGCAACAGGACTGGCCAATCAGGAAGCAGAGACTCAGATTCTGCCCGGCAACAGGACTGGCTAATCAGGGGACAGTTACCGGGAGCTCAGACTCTGCCGAGTAACAGGACTGGCCCGTCGCGAGATAGTCACGGAGGGGCAGGGGGAAGTTTCAGGCATCGCCTGATAAATGACTGGCCAATCAGGAAACAGAGACTCAGATTCTGCCCGGCAACAGGACTGGCCAATCAGGAGACAGTCACTGGGAGCTCAGGCACTGCCTAGTAACAGGATTCGCCCATCACCAGATAGTCAAGGAGGGGCGGGGGGAGGGTTCAGGCATCGCCTGATAAAGGATCGGCCAATCAGGAGACAGAGACTCAGAATCCGCCCGGCAACAGGACTGGCCAATCAGGAAACAGAGACTCAGATTCTGCCCGGCAACAGGACTGGCCAATCAGGAAACAGAGACTCAGATTCTGCCCGGCAACAGGACTGGCCAATCAGGAGACAGAGACTCAGAATCTGCCCGGCAACAGGACTGGCCAATCAGGAGACAGTTACCGCGGGCTCAGGCTGTGTCTGACAACAGGACTGGCCAATCAGGAGACAGTCACGGGGGGGGGGCTCAGGCTGTACTTGACAACTGAACCAGCCAATCAGGAGACAGTCACGGGGGGGCTCAGGCTGTACCTGACAACTGAACCGGCCAATCAGGAGACAGTCACTGGGGGCCTCAGGCTGTACCTGACAACTGAACCGGCCAATCAGGAGACAGTCACCGGGGGCTCAGGCCGTACCTGACAACTGAACCTGCCAATCAGGAGACAGTCACCGGGGGCTCAGGCTGTACCCGACAACTGAACCAGCCAATCAGGAGACAGTCACCGGGGGCTCAGGCTGTACCTGACAACTGAACCGGTCAATCAGGAGACAGTCACCGGGGGCCTCAGGCTGTACCTGACAACTGAACCGGCCAATCAGGAGACAGTCACGGGGGCTCAGGCCGTACCTGACAACTGAACCGGCCAATCAGGAGACAGTCACCGGGGGCCTCACGCTGTACCTGACAACTGAACCGGCCAATCAGGAGACAGTCACCGGGGCTCAGGCCGTACCTGACAACTGAACCGGCCAGTCAGGAGACAGTCACCGAGGGCTCAGGCTGTACCTGACAACTGAACCGGCCAATCAGGAGACAGTCACCGGGGGCTCAGGCCGTACCTGACAACTGAACCAGCCAATCAGGAGACAGTCACCGGGGGCCTCACGCTGTACCTGACAACTGAACCGGCCAATCAGGAGACAGTCACCGGGGGCTCAGGCCGTACCTGACAACTGAACCAGCCAATCAGGAGACAGTCACCGGGGGCTCAGGCTGTACCTGACAACTGAACCGGCCAATCAGGAGACAGTCACCGGGGGCTCAGGCTGTACCTGACAACTGAACCGGCCAATCAGGAGACAGTCACCGGGGGCTCAGGCTGTACTTGACAACTGAACCGGCCAATCAGGAGACAGTCACTGGGGGCTCAGGCTGTACCTGACAACTGAACCAGCCAATCAGTAGACAGTCATGGGGGGCTCAGGCTGTACCTGACAACTGAACCAGCCAATCAGGAGACAGTCACGGGGGCTCAGGCTGTACCTGACAACTGAACCAGCCAATCAGTAGACAGTCACTGGGGGCTCAGGCTGTACCTGACAACTGAACCAGCCAATCAGGAGACAGTCACCGGGGGCTCAGGCTGTACCTGACAACTGAACCAGCCAATCAGGAGACAGTCACCGGGGGCTCAGGCTGTACCTGACAACTGAACCAATCAGGAGACAGTCACGGGGGGCTCAGGCTGTACCTGACAACTGAACCAGCCAATCAGTAGACAGTCACCGGGGGCTCAGGCTGTACCTGACAACTGAACCAGCCAATCAGTAGACAGTCACCGGGGGCTCAGGCTGTACCTGACAACTGAACCAGCCAATCAGTAGACAGTCACCGGGGGCTCAGGCTGTACCTGACAACTGAACCAGCCATTCAGGAGACAAAGACTCAGAATCTGCCCGGCAACAGGACTGACCAATCAGGAAACAGTCACCCTGGAGAGGGGAGCTTCTCCTGAAGTTAAACGAATGACCCCTCTGTCTATTCAGGTGGACCTTAAAGACCATCTGCATCACTCAAAATATACTTATTAAAATATTTTTATTATATTATGTGACATTATAGATTAGTACTGAGCCAGTCAGGAATCTAAGCATCTTGTTTGACTCTAAACTGTCCTTTCTCCCCCACATCTGTGCCATGACCCGCTCTGCCTTCACCCCACCATCGGAGGTTGGGCCTTTAGCCTCTCTGCCGCCACCCTTCGGAACTCCATCCCTCTATCTCTGCCCCCTCCCTTGCCTCCTTCAAGGCACATCTCAAGACCCTCCTACCCTCCCTTACCCCAACACCCCTCCCCTACTTGGGTCCAAATCTGTGACTGTCAAGCACTTTGGGACGTCCTCCAGATATGAAAGGCGCTATACAAATGTAATGTTGTATTATGTATTGTACACTATAACAACAGTCATCATAGAACACGTTCTGACGAAGGGTCGTGGACCCGAAACGTTGACTCACTTTCCTTTCTCCATAGATGCTGCCTGACCTGCTGAGTTTTCCCAGCTCTCTCTGTTTTTGTTTCAGATTCCAGCATCTGCAGTATTTTGTGTCTTGATTGACTCACTGCCACTTCTCTTCTTGGAATGCCTACCCTGAAGAATTTCTGCTCTTCTCTTCGACGTGACTTTCGTTCCTCCCTTTTACCCCGCTCCCCCTCCTTCCTATTTGTTCCCCCAGTTCTGATGAAGGACTTTGTGGGCGAACGCGGCAGCCATTGCGCACAGTAATGTCCACAAAGTGTTGTAGATTGAAAATGACCAATTTATTATTGTTTTTGGTTTTGGAGGGATTATTATTAGGCTCTGTGTGGAGTAAGGAAACTTGCCCAAGGTTTCGCCCTCTGCCTGGGATTGAACTCAGGTCTCTCACTTGCAAAGCGAGTGCTCTAACCACTGAGCTACAGGACTCCAACTGAGCTACTGTATACATATACATTGCCTCACATACTGTATACATATACATTGCCACACATACTGTATACATATATAATCCCTATACTGTATACATTTACATTGCCACACATGCTGTATACACATACATTGTCACACATACTGTATACATATACATTGCCACACATACTGTATACATATACATTGCCACACATACTGTATACACATACATTGCTACACATACTGTATACACATACATTGCCACACATACTGTATACATATATAACCCTCATACGGTATACATATACATTGCCGCACATACTGTATACATATCACATTGCCACACATACTGTATACATATCACATTGCCACACATACTGTATACATATCAAACATTGCCACACATACTATATACATATCACATTGCCACACATACTGTATACATATACATCGGCACACATACTGTATACATATCACATTGCCACACATACTGCATACATATACATTGCCACACATACTGTATACGTATCACATTGCCACACATACTCTATACATATCACATTGCCACACATACTATATACATATACATTGCCACACATACTGTATACATATACATTGCCACGCATACTGTATACATATCACATTGCCACACATACTGTATACATATACATTGCCACACATGCTGTATACATATATATAATCCTCATACAATATACATATACATTACCACGCATACTGTATACATATCATACATTGACACACATACTGTACACACATCAAACATTGCCACACATACTGTATACATCATACATTGCCGCAATACTGTATACATATCATACATTGCCACACATACTGTATACACATACATTGCCACACATGCTGTATACATATATAATAATCCTTGCATTTGATATAGCGCTTTTCACGTCGGGAAGACGTCCCAAAGCGCTTCACAGAACACACTGTAAAGTGAATTGACTGTATAT